ACAATGTATTAATGAAATTAAGTGACAACAGAGATAGAAATGTTTTGATATATTTTGATAAACAAAATGATGAGTATGATCATTTTTATATGTTATAATATCTATAATGTATTATCAAAGATAGTGAACATCTGCGTAAATAACACATTTCAAACATTGAACTTATTGTCACTAGATAGAATAATAGAGATATCTTCAAACAACTTTAATGTAAACGATGATCATTGACACCTTCTATCGATCAATTCATCATTAATAATTCTTTGAAAATTATTTCATTGAAAGATTAACGAAGTAAAAATCTAATGTATAGAAGTAGAAATAAGTTCGATAGTAAAGATGCTGCATTGGGATCTATAGGCAATGATATTCAACTACAGGCAAAGCTTCCTTAACAATTTTAGTTCGCTTCATTGAACTCTTACTGAGCTACGATCTACAAAGCGTATCAATGCGTAGATAGCTGGAACAAAGTCGTAAACAATACGGGACCAACTGACCCAGAAAGCTTTTTCTTTTCATTTGGGAAGATACTTTTGTTTGCTACTGTATATATTATGAAAAGAAATTAAGTTGTTTGTTTTTATGTCTTAACAAATTTTTCTTCAGTTGCATCTTATTCATTGTTCGCTTTTCATATTCAACATGTGTATCTTAGCAATGATCACTTGATTTGAGAGTAAACTGACCAAATATTTGATAGTTTATCATTGATATTCTCTCTCATTGGGTCCTCATTTGTCAACTAAAGTGTAGATCTCGGTTTGAATGAAAAGAACGTTCATTGCCACTCGCACACTTGTCATGCAACACAGATTTTGTTTAGATGATTAACTGTGTATTGAAAGTTCAAATAGTTCAGCACTTTCTACCTTCGATCAGTATTCATAAAGCGAAGCATGACGAACAAATGGCGACAAAAATAGTTCTTAAATATGAATTGAATATAGCCATTCTCACGAGATAGGAGTCTTATACACCGTCAACTTTAAATAATTATTCTCCGTGATTTTGATTGAAAGATTAATCGGAGCTGAATTTGGAACTGACTAGAATCAATATGGGTTTAATTCAGAAATAATAAAAATGGGATAATTTATTTTAATTGTTAATTAAGAACGAGTTGAAAATAGATCTTAACATTATCAAATCATCAAACTCATATTGATTCGATTGAATATCTAATGATTTTTAAAATAAGAATCATCGATATATGTTTATTATTATATTTCGTGATGAGCTTTAGTCAAATCGTATGTGTTCATTGATTATTATCTTCAAGATAATTCGTTGACGTATCTTCTTTTTGAAACGTTCGCTCATGTTTAATCATATTATAGTTTATTTCAATCTTAAATTAAAATAGAAAAATCATGCTGATGGTATAAACTAAAAAAACAATAAAATCAAAAACTTTATTCATTCTTTTTTTCGCATCTGTACGTATGATAGGAGTCAGTATCAATTGATTTATAGTCACTCGATTGTTTTTGGAGCATATTTTTATTGATAATAGCTGTTGAGTCGTCATTATGTCTGATTTTAGGTTAAATTGACTCCAAGAACTGAATTTTGATAATGATGTTTGTCAACGATAAACTAAATAACAAAAAAGAAAATCAAATCATGTTAAATATTTTTTTTTCTGCAGTCTAAAATTAGGCTGGTTCGGTCTAATAGTTTATTATTATCAAGATACCGTATTTTTTATCTCAGGAACATGAGGGATATTGAGTTTCGAATTTCGATTTGAAACTTTACATAGAGACAGACCTTAGCGAGAATAGTTTATTGTCGAAGTTTCAAGTATTTTGATTGCGTCTATTCTGAAATAAGAACATCTGACTTTGTTATTATTTATGAATGGTGTAAAACAACATGCTTTTATTATTGCTGTATCTTGGAATAGAAGCAATCAAAAGATCCGAGACTTTTACAATAAATTGCTCTTACTAAGGTGTGTGTCTATTCAAAATTTCAAGTTGAAATCTGGCCTCGGATTACGAGTTTTTGAAAACATAGGAGTTTGTATAGGGTTTAGTTTTCTAAATTATAGGATTTTCACTAAAAAATGATAAAAATATAAGATATTATTATTCATCATTTCTATTTAAAAGTCTGCCTTTGCTAAATTCGCCGTTTGATATATCGTCTCAATTGAGTTAGTATGAACGGCTACAGCATTATCAGGATGCCTATCTCATTTCTTTCTGCCAAAATAAAAAGTTGATTCAATTATCGTTGACAGTTCAATTAGAATATATTTCATTCATGTATTAGCAAATATTATTTTTCATAGTTAAGACTGAATCATAAATATAATTCACTTATGCAACCAATATGTATTTATATTTTTTACAAGCACATAAATACGCATGCATATAAACGTGGAAGAGCAATGAAAAACTTCAAAAGGTATATGATCATTCAGTAAATATTAGCTTACTTGATTTGTATATTTAGTCTTTATATCCTTTCCATAGAATAGAAAAAACTTTCCAGAAACAACTTCTGCAAAGTTCCTCAATGATTTTTCAAAACTCAGTTTTCCTGGTTTTGGTGAAAGATGCCATGACATTCTAATAAAAAATGCAGCATCACAATAGTCTTAAGTTATTAGACTCGAACTTTTTTTGACAATATTCACAATTCATTAGAATTTACATGATGCACAAAGTTCTGACTCTTGTATTGATTCTCTTTGATTCAATTTATGCTAGATTAATAAATATTCGGATTCAGTACCGAACTCATTGCTAATTATTGGATGCATTCGAACAAAAAACAATTTCTTCTTAGACTTTATTCTATGTAGATAACTGTGAAAGAAATCAACTTACAATCAATATAAAGATTCATTCAATTTAATATCATGTAGAATTGAATAATTATGTGGATTTGAGATTGAAAATATTTTTCTTATCTAATATCAAAAGTTAGAAATTTTTTTAATGTTAGATGAATTTGAATTCTGGGCGAATGTTGAATGAATTTTTAAAATCTAGATCGAAATTCGTTAATAGTCCGCTGGAAACCATCTATTAAATTAATAAAGCCAATTTTTACTATAAGCCATTAGAACTTGCCGAGTCTGTGAGTAAATATTACTAGAACCATAAATAGGAAGCTAACTGTTAAAGTAATTGTATTGTAAGTTTTTTAACATTCACTAAAAACCGAAATATAATGTTGTTTTTATTCAAATTTTGAAAGACAATACAATAACAGTGCTAATAGATAAAATAACATCATACAGTATATATTTAACCAGACATGAACCAAGAGTAACGGTAATATTTCGCTGGAAAATATTTAATAAACAGTCATTTTAATTCTGAAAAAAACAAAATAGGTCTAACCTTTACATGATATGATAAACAAAAAAAAACGAAGAGTGATTGTTACCTTATCAATACAGGTAATATTTGAAAGAGACACATACATATGCACGTTAATATGGTTGATTGTATTTATTCATGCGTGCTGTACTTCCTAGCTAGACGATAAATGATTCATTTTATTATAATGAAATATTGACATCAGTGATCGATAAATCAATCTTCACAATTTTATTAGATTTTATTCAAACAGTTTTTCTGATTATTCGTTGTTTTTTTTTGAACAATAGATTTTTCACTTATAACAAAAATCAAAGATATTAATTATGTAATTAGACATGTGTGAATCATCAATCATGATTTTTAAATGTCTAGCATATTTGTCTTGTATGAGTTACATAGCGACTTCTTGCTTGAATGAGTACAATTAATGTTGACCAAATGTGTTGTACTGAGTATTAGAATTCGACTTGGATCAAGTTAGCTCATTAAAAACATTTTCAACCTTGAATTATTTCACATAATTCGCCTTATGATTTCTTCGGGAAACGTTGATAGAAAAATAGCAATTTTTTTTGTGTAAATCCTTTTCTATATGCTCGAATTTCTCACACACGTCAAATTTGAGGGTTGACTAATTTTTGATATCTGCACGACGATGTGGGGACATGTAGCGTCGCGATTCATACTCGTTTTTGTGTACACAGTAATGTCTATTCTGATTTTATGTTTTGACACCATTGAAAAGGACGTTTAGGGATGAATCGGATGGACTTCGGTACTATTTGTAAAGAACATCAGACATATTCGGATCAAATTAAAGCTCTCACTGCTAAACTAACAAATTTAAACTATGAACTTCTCATGATGTACACACCGAGCAAGATATTAGGATGGTCGGATAGAGCTCATCGACTTATATAAGTCTATTTTCCTTTATATTTAGAGATGATGGTATCTTGAACCTTTTTCATTGATTTTTTTCAAATTCTTTTTTAAGTTTAAAACACACTTTTTCTTGCGTAATTCGATGAGTTCTATCCAATCATCCTATTATCTCGCTCGATGTATGCTATGAAAAAGTTCATATTTAAAATATGTTAGTTTGATAGTCAGAGCTGTAGTTTGACTAGAATATATCAAATGTTCTTTTCTAACAGCGCAAAGCCTTCCATGGTAAATATCTCTCATATGAAATTAGAATAGAATAAAGACTTTAATTTCAAAAATTATAATTAAACAACATAATTTTTCGATAAGTTTGAATAAAAAAAAGCACCACTTCATAAAAATCTGTGTATAAGTTCTCATTAAAAACCTTATGTCATATATGTTCTCTTATGTTTATATAATAAGATTTCGAATACACTCTTCTGATCGAAATAAAAACATTCTTATGAAATTTATTTTTAGTCATTTTCATGATTTGCATACAGGGAAAAAAATATCTTCCAGTTCACTCTCACGCGTAGTTTCACTATTTAATTTCTCACTGTGATGAAATTACTGCCAACATTTGCCGTATTGCGATTGTAAGTTTCTTTTTTCGTTTGTAGGTAATAAAAAAAAGGAAAGGCAAAAAAAGAAAAAAAAAAACTTTTTATCTGAGTTCTACCTTAACTTTGCACGTGTGTATTAGCAAGTGTATGAATTGTTAACAAGATGACTTCATTACCAACCGATCGAATATTTGGTTTACGAAATGAAATTCATAAAAATGTATCACAAGTTCATGCTAATAAAATGCAATGTGAGCGTCTTTGTGAACGTATTGATCAATTAATTGATCCTCTCGAACGTTTAGAACATGCAACATTATCAACATTACGAGAAGAAACCCGTCCAATACTTGATAAATTACTTCGATGTATTGATGATTGTAATAATTATATCGAAAAATTAAAATCTTCTGAACAATGGTATGAAGAAATTTATGAATATAAACAAAGTGATGAAAAATTTAAAGAATTAAATAATCGTTTATCACAAATAGGTCAAGATTTATGTCTTGGCTTAAATATTCAAGAATTATTCGATCGAAAACAAGATCAAGAAGATCGACAAAAGGATTTAAAAGATTTACATAAAAAATTAGATGAAATTTCACAAAAGATGTTAGAAAAACAATGTGAACAACATAAATTAATCGATAAAATGATTGATAAACGTTTTCAATCATTTCGTTTTTCTCTAGCACAAAATTTATTGATACAACAAGAGTCTAAACAATCACAAGAAATTCTCGAAAAACGTCAACAATTTTTACATATACCATATAAAGATTTATATATTGAAGATAAACTTGTTGGTAGTGGTGGATTTGCTGATGTTTATAAAGCTCAATGGTTAACACATCATGATCTAGTTGCTGTGAAAATTATACGTATTAATTATTTATCAAATATTGAAAAAGATTTTTATCGAGAAATTTCAACAATGTATCGTATACATTATGAGAATGTTTTAAATGTTTTTGGTGCATGCATTGAACCGAATTTATATGCAATTATTGTCGAATATATGCCATTAGGTTCATTATATGATATCTTACATAAAAAAAGTGAACAAATATCATTTGATTGGTTCGATCGATATTCTATTGCATGGCAAATGACAAAATCAATTAATTATTTACATAATCTCGATCCATCAATTCTTCATCGAGATATAAAATCAATGAATTTTTTATTAAAATATAATGGATCTTCGAATCAAAAATATATTGTTAAAGTTTGTGATTTTGGTTTAGCTGAAATTCGACGTGAAACTTTATTACAATCTGCATCATTAACTTCTTTTCAAATTATTGGTTCATTTTGTTGGAAAGCACCAGAATTATTTAAACCACCTGGTACACATACAAAAAAAACTGATATTTATAGTCTTGGAATTGTTTTTTGGGAATTAGCTACCGCAAGAAAACCATGGGATGAATATGAAGATGAAGCAGTTATATTAGTTCAAGTTAAAACAGGTGAACGACCAACTATTCCATCAGATATACCTGAACCATATAAACAAGGTATACAAGATGCATGGAATCATGATTCTCAAAAGCGTCCAACATGTTTTCAATTAATGCAACGATTTTATAAAGAAATAAATCAATTAATTATTGTGAATAATGAAAAAGATATTATTGATTTACAACGTCAACAAACTACAACTGAACAAATTAATGATTCAGTTAACTCAACAACAAATACTGAGTAAGATCTTTTTAATGACATAAACATCTACATATCTTTTTTGTTTGTCTTTCCTTTTTAGTTCGACTGTCACAGCAATACAAGTAGCTGAAGAAGAGAATGAAGAAAAAAAATCAAAGAATAGTCAACAAACTATTATTGTTTCAGAATCCTTACACGATGAGACAAAAATAGGTAAGTTATTTTTGACTTACTAGATTTAACTGTATTGCTATACTTGAGATTTCGATCAGAAGTTTTTCAATGCTATAAATTAATCACATTTGATTCTCTCCTATTGATTACTGTGAATTATGCTTCTGCAGTTTTCTGATTAATACTTGATATGTCATTCTTTCGGAGGAACCATTTCGATTAAACACCCTCATGTCTTTCCATTGGCGTCATAGCCATTTTACTGAAATTTCAGTCGATGAAATGATGCATCGACCTGGAATGTTGACCATAGATGGACCTACTTCTGATTAGAATTTGCTAAAAATTTTAGTTTACAGAAATGTGCGTATATCATAAGACATTGAGTTTTCAAAAGTCACTCATATTATGCGAAAGATAAGATATCTTATGAGAGATGCATTCTTTTCAGTTGAAATTTTCAGGTCGGCACACCGTCATGCAGTTTATTCGCGCATACCATTTCATAGACTGAAATGTCAGTAATACAATGGCTATAAAGTCAATGGGAAGGCATAAATGCACTTATTGTTCGAAGTTCTTCATACCTCCATTAAGCTTAGGACGGATTTCTTGTTAGTATTATTTTCACTTGTGTGACTCTCAATAATTGTTTTAAAAAATGAAACTGAAAAGTTTCAGCAAATTATCTAACGCAAATAATAGAACAAATGAAAATAGAATTTTTAGTTAGAATATACACAAATTAGCATATACTTAACGATGTCTATAGGTAACTTATTTATCTTTCAAGAGATTCTAAAACCGTATGTACAACATTATACAAACATACTTGTTAATTGTACATTAATTATTCACTAAATTTGACTTATCTCCTTTAAAAATAAACTTTATAGAAGAAAAAACTAATGTCGAAGAAAAAGAAACAGTTCACAACGAACCTCAATCAATGCTACAACACAGTACATCTTCAAATATAACTGAAGAACAACACCAAGCAAGTTCTTCTCTGATACATCAAACCGAATCTGAAACAATATTAGAACAAAGTTCATCTTCGAATATAACTGGAGAATTGAATCAAACAACTTCTTTTTCTATTTCTCAAATCGAATCTGAATCAATGTTACAACATAATTCATCTTCGAATATAAATGAAGAACAAAATCAAACAACTTCTTCTCCTATTTCTCAAATCGAGGAAAAATTGTTAAAATCAACAGAAAATTTGACGCCAAAGTAAGTCTTTAATATAAAACATAAACATTTGAAAATTCGATCGAATGTACATTCGGTCTGAAATTATATCTAATACGTGCTTTAGGAAAATCTTGTCTCTAACTTCTGTTTCTTTTCTTGATTTATAGTATTCCAGCAGACAATCATACAGAATATCCATCTTATCAAACGTTGTTTCCAATCGACAAAATAAAACCACGACGTCCACTACATGGTTTACTCTCTAGGTGGCCTCAAAAGAAAAATTAATATAAATTGTTGAACGCATTTAGATATTGTTTTGATTGAAGACATTGATGTTAATAAAAAATTAAAATTGTTAAATACTATCGCCTCGTGTGATCACAGAAAATTTTCTTAGAAATGAAAATGACTCCTGAGGTTTGACTTTGTGATTAACTCATTTAGTTTTAATTGTTGTTTAAATGGTAAGTATTAATGAACAACGCACAATTTTTGTTGAGAAAAACTCAACAACAATAAAAATTCAGTAAGATGCAAGAGTATTTGCCCTCGCTTAAGCAATTTTTTTTTGCACGCTTTAGAATCGATGTTTTGAAAACTGTAGAACATGGGAGTAAGTCGATATATAGCTATGCAAACCATAAATCGTCCTTGTCACCATTGTTCACCTGACAGAAATTATCCTCTGAACTATCAAATACAATACGACCTAGATAAATGCTAATATGACATACTGTAGGACAAATATCGTAATAGTCAACTTCGCAATATCACTGTTGTTCAGTATAAGACTCTCGACCAGTTGATTCGACGAAAGAAGGAGACAACGGCGAACACACTAACGCAAAAACATTTGATGATCGGTATAGACACGTATCCCTGAGGAAGATTAAGCACCAACTCGAACGAATTGGTTGGGAGAATACTTAGTTCTACGCAATAGTAACGTTAGCATTGAAAGCAGAAGGATACGAATGTCAACGGCTTACTTCAACATAATGGCGAATATTGGAGTCAAATAATCTTCATTGAAAGGGCCTCCTATGAATTACTGAGAAAGACAAGTCGTCAACGTCAAGCGAATTCCATAGAGCATAGAGTAGTTAATTCTGTCTACCTACGAGATTTGAGCAAGGTGGAAGTCCCAAATAGAGAACACGAACAATGAAATAATTTTTACGTAAGAAAGTATTTGAAACGATCGACGGGTTCTCAAACACTTCCAGAGTGGAAACTATCAAATTTCAATGAACTAAACTTATTTCAATGTGAAGAGTGCTACAAAATCAGCTTGTACAGGCTAATTCACTAAATCTTATTAGACATTATTCTTAAGCATATTTTGTATTGGTACAAGTAGAGAAAAAATTATGGAAGATCGAAGTTATTAAACACTCTATTGAAAATGTTTTGAAGCAAGATAATTGTTTGTTAAATGTTATGCGGCAATAAAATGTTTAAAATAATTTTCTTTTTTCAAGTATTTCTTTAACGATAACGAAATTTTAACACATTTTCATCATCTATTCATTTTACAAATTCCCAATCGACTGATCATAATGAGTAATGAAAAAGTCTGTTTTGATTCGGTTTTCCAGTAGTCATTTGTCGAGTTATGGAAAGAATAACATTTTCATGATAAGCTGATATCTCGACAAGGATACATTTGTCCTAGCTTATACTTTGAAGAGTTTCTTGTGACTGTAAGATTTGTCTATGGACAAAATTTTACTTCGAAATTTCATCGTCCAAGTTCTCAGTGAGATTGTACACTCATAAGGCGCAAATCAAGTACAACATTCTTAATTCGACAAGCGAACACCAGAAAATCAAAGTACAACGGATTTTTTTCACCAATTATTATGACCGAACAAAACGTGATTAGACAGTTAAGAAAACTTTGATAAAGTCTAAAAAGTGAAGCTAATATTTTTGTTCACAAGGATCTAGTGAAATAAATGTTATCTGCTTACAAAAATTATTTCGATACTTCAAAAAAATATAACTTATCGCAACATTTCGAGATGTTATTATTAACAAACTCAAATCTAGAATAATATGAAAGCTATATAATAATGAATTTTTTTTTCCATAAACTGATCATATTTAAGAATAGAAACTAATGAATAATCTTCAATGTTTATTGAATTACAAAAAAAGAACAAAACCAATGAATAAATTTTTAAGTATAATTTTTGACCACTCCATGAAATCGTGCAATTTTGCTTATTATAAACTGCCATCCTGTCATTGACATATCATATCTTTCAGATATAATTCTTTGTTTTTCAATTGATTCAAAATTGTCATTTATTTCCCAATGTGTATTTACAAAATTAATATATGTATCAAATGTCATTTTCACTAGATAATCTAAATTTAACATAATTTCATTAGCAAATTCAATACGTTTAATATAATCTTCGAGTTGATCTCGACTAAGTAGAATTGGTCGACTAGATAAAAGACTTCTTGTAATTATTTCAATTGTTTTTCGTGTTTCACTTTTTAATTCATCAAGAATATTAGATATATTTTGATAGTCAATATCCGCATGATATGAAGAATTTTCTTTTGAAAGATTTATTGCAATATGATAAAAATTTTTCCAAAGTTTTTCTAAAACATTTGTTATATTTGCCTAAAGAAACGAATATATATATATATATATTGTTTTCTGCATCTAATAATCGAATTATTATTTTTTATAAAGCATAAAAGAATAAAATTAATAGATATATACATACCATTTATTTATTATTTATACAATTTATCTAAGGTGTTTTGAATTTATTTCGAGAGCTCTACTAACCAGTCAACGACACAGATAAAACTTCGCCCAATAATAAATATTCTTTTATCACGTCTATAGATAACATTTGCTAGAGGAAAGAGACATTCAAATATGACTCATCCTATCACATTAACAAGAAATATTTTGCCAAGTTGAAGTGATAAATAGAGTATTGCCGAGAAAACTATTACTATTTTACAAATGTATACAATTCATTATTATTAACAAATAGTAAACTAAATCAGTTTTGAAAATTATGTGATTGTTTACCATTTAGCCTTTGCTGAACATTCTACATCATGAAAGAGAAAATCAATCACTTTCGCAAAGTTCATTTGCTGTGTCTGGAAGTCAGAGACCTGTTTATGGATAAATATTCTAATCAAAATTCCATAGTTTGCTTATTTGCTTAATAATTTGCTATAGCGTTTTTATATGCATGCACAACTTGTCAATTACTCCATTTATTTTCTTGTTATTAAACGATATAATTCTTTCAAAAAATTAAATTATAATGAATACTGTTCATTTTTTTTGAATTTGAATCAACACAAAAACTTTTGTAAAAATCTTGCATCCATTCTATGTGGTCAAATGTATATAGAAATTGAAAAGAATGTTTATTTAATGATTCTTAATCCATCTTAGCTTATTATAAAAACATCTCAATGAATCATAATTTATTATTTCTATGAGTTCATATTTTCGTGCTTATATTTTTAGGTAAAGTTATGGTAGACAATAGAGCAGATGAGTACATAAACGTGTTATTTATTGTAAGTCGTCTGATCAAGAAAATAATGGCGTGAAATTCATCATATGAAAAATCAGAGTACTCCTTCTCATTTTTCTTGCAGAAAATTCAATCTATATAAATATAATTTTTTTATTGTTGACTTTTTACTTAATTGAAATCGAAATGATACAAAAAAAAATCCTAATGAAATTATTATTGCTATTTTTTTGAGCGCCTGAAGATCATATCAGAAGATATTAATCAACAGTTTAAAAGTAATTACTGCCTGGAATCATTTCGTTCTTCATTTTGAATAGCAACATCAGTGAACAATGAGAGACGAAAAAAAAATACTATTTTAGTTCAATTATATTTCGTTAAATATACAGAACGAACGTGTTCAATCTGTTGAAAGAGTCTTTATTTCACACAGTAGCCAGCGGACATTTAACAAAAAAAAAGCTTTTTCTTCACGTACAGAAAGAGAAAAGAATTGATGATCGAAAAAAAACGCTGCATCCTCGAATACAGTGAACTGTTTATCCAATGGATTAAGTGTAGATACAGGTGATGAGAGGTTTTTTTTTCTTTTCTTTGCTTATTGGAAAAATAACCTTCGAACTCTTCTCTCTTGTATTATTCATCGATAACTTCATTCTTTTATTTTCGTCACATAGACATAGAACTTCGTTCTTCCCCTTTTTCGTGTCAACATATACACACACTGACAACGAATCAAGATCGATTGTCTTTACTTATTAATTTTTCGTTCAATCATATTCAAATAATAAAAGTAATTAGATATGATTTGATAAAGTCGTCACCCTTGATAATTATCATTAGACAACATAATTAAAAAAAAACGATTTTCATATACTCAGAGGATGTACCGACAAATGAACATTACTGCAGAAGACTTAGTAACATACAAAAAAGGTCTTTTTTCGTAGTAATACAAGTTGAGTGAAATTTTGTTTTGACTTCATTGTCATCGTAAAAAATATTTGATCCATGTCTCATGAAAGTAAAATAGTGAGTGATGCCTTTTCAATGTTCACTAATAAGGTTTCATGGACAAATTTAGTAAATGGAGACAAAAATCATTTGCTCATAAAATATTTGATTAGTCAATTTAAACATGGACAAAGTTATTTCTTAGCAAGAAAACATGTTGAATTATTGTTAAGATAACTACAGGAGTATATTACAATCAAACCAAAAAAATAACATGTTAGAATTCAATTCAGAAATAAAAAAAAACTATGTTGAATGATTGTCTTTATACATATGTTTTATAAAACAGAACATTTTTAATAAGTCGTCTGCTTTTTTTTTCTTCTGCTACTATCCATTGTCCCACCCTGAATATAAAGATCAAGGTTCATTCAGATTACTAACGGTTAACAGATACGGTCACCGCCATCATCTCGTATATTTTTCCTCATTATTATTTTTCTCTTTCTCGATTGTTTTTTTGTATGTATACTCATGTCCATCTCTAGTCTGTTCTATCCGAATAATAGAATAGTATAAGAGAAAGGGAAAGAAAAGGCACCTCACTATTGTGTTGAACATGAGAAGAAAAGAAGAAAAAAAAAAATCCTCATAAATTCGGGGGTCGTTCTCTTTCGGTATGTATTCTGCGATATTTATTTTGCATATACATTGGACTCTTAGTTCGCGGCGGTGACGAGAGTATAACAAAAAAAAATATGAATAGTATAGTAGAAAAAGAAGAAAGAATAGAAAAATGGCGTCGTCATCGTTCATCGTCGACCGATGGTCAAGTCGCCCCGGCGAGAAACACAATTAGACATTTGTGTGTGTATATGTATGTATACATACATACACACAAAAAAAAGAAAAAAAGAAGAAAAAAAAACGAGGCCTATGCGAGCGCACATTCATTTATGCAGAAGGAAAAGAAAAGGAAAAGATGTTCTTCTTTTCTGCTTTGCGCGCCGTCGTCCACCTCGAAAAAGCCATTTCTGAACCTGCCATTACTATACAAAAAGAGAAAGAGAGAACAAGAAATCTTGCTTGTACACGAACCAAGAGAGGAAAAAAGAGAGTGGAGGCACGAGAGAGAGAAAGAGCGATCACAAAAACAAACGAGAGAGAGGACAAGACGACGAACAAAAACACACACGCCACTCTAACTGGGACCAAATCATTTTATATATGTCTTTTAGAAAGATTTATCTGAATATAGACACTAGATATTTATATATCTCTAATAAGTCTTATCTATGTTTTTTTTTTCCAGAGTTAAAAAAAAAAATGCAGCATACATCTCCAACACCTCCAACGTTAATTGAAAATTTTAAAATGATATCCATGCCAACACCGAGCATTTCCGATGTTACAGCAACTAGTGATAATTCATACGTAAAATTGATTTTCTTTTTTTTTTGTTAGTAAGAGAAGAAAAAAAACGAAGAGGATTTTCCCATTTTTTATTTAGCCTTCGCTTTTACTAAAAAAGAAATTAGCTATGCTTGATAATTCATCTACTTCGACAGACGTTCTCATCTCACATGATACGATCAATTCACCAGTTTCTGTAAGTCATCGTTTTTATAAAGATGTATCATAATTTTATTTGCTTAAAATATATCAATGTAGTTAATCAAGCCATCAAGTACAACTTTATCGATCAATGAGAATGAACCTGTAAAAAGTGCCAGTCGTGTATGTTAGACAAAACAACAAAGATGATGATAACTTTGTTTTTATTAATTGGAATTTTTTTCTTTAAATAGCGCCGTAAACCACTTCGACCTTGGTCATTGTCTGCACGTGTCGAACGACCAAATTCGGTATGTTATCTAATATTTCATCGAGTCAATCTGTATAGAATAAATCGTACGTATCATAGAGAAATTTCCATTTCGTTATTTTTGCTGTTTCGAGTAGATAATTTATACATGAAATAGCATGAATAGATATGCATACAATCAAAAACCAACTGTTCATTACAATGAGACATGAAAAATGATTGAGATCAACACCAATTAGAATAGGGTGGTTCTACTGTATATGTGATATATTTATATCGATTTACTTACTATGATAACAAAAGATCTGCTATAGTATTCTGACATTGAAGAGAACAGTGGTTCACAAAATAAAGATAATATTATATGAAAATATCGCAGAGGAGGCTAGAATGTCTGTCATCACATATCTCTAACACATAATTTGGGCGTATAGCGACATAACAGGTTTTTGTAAAGGAAAATTTACTCTACACGCTCATATATAATACTATTCGTGCGAATGCGGAACACGAGATCATTTTAGTACGAAAAGATTATCATAAATAAACAAGTTATAAGTAAATAGGCTACTATACGTTAATCTTTTCGTTCTAAAATGACTCCCTGTTCGGTACTCCCGTGAATAGTGTTATAGATGAACGTGTAGAAAGAACTTCGCTCAATAAACTCTGCTATGCCATTATGTATCCAAATTGTACTTTAGAGACATAATAATGGACATTTTAATCTCTTTTATGATGTTTTAATATATAGTATTAGCTATGTTTTGTAAATAGCTGATCTCTTGAAAATAAGAATTTAGAGCGAATCTTTTGTTATCATTGTAAGTAAATCAATTTGGAGGAAATAATTTGTAAAGTGTTATATATACCATGGAATCATCAAATATCTTACTAAGACTATGATTAGACTTAATATAAGTTCTTCTCGTTTGCATAGATATCTCTAATGATAGATTTTTGATCTTTATAGACTATTCAATCGAACAATGATTCATTTGAACCTATTAGTGATACTGATGATGATAATAATCCATCGGTAAAACTTTATAAATTCAATTCTATTTATCAATTATTTTTTGTTTCATACAGGAAATGAAACATTCACCTGTGAATAATGAAATAATAGATAGTAATCTTGATGAAGATGATAATTCATTGGTATGTATGGCATGAAATCTTCTATTTTATTTAGTAGATAAATACTAATATTTAGAATATTGAATGGCCTAAACAATTATCAACAATTGAAGAAATTTTTAAATTATATCGCGTCGAAACGAATGATTTAGTGCAATGTATTCGATGTGGTTGTAATGCTAATCAAGATAATTTATTTGATCATGTTTCTATTCATTATCCATATAAGTGTTATGCATGCGGGTAACTAGAAACTTATATTTTCTTAAGAAAAAAAGCAACAACAAAAACAAATCTTTTCAATAGATTTTATTGTGATTCATCAGCGAGTCTTGATGAACATAATCGAACTCATACATCTAATACTCTTCTAAAATCTACACCTATTGAAGAAATTTCACTTCCATTACCAATACCTATTTCAACATCAACAAAACCAGTTGAATCTTCTAATGGCACTAACAGTGAAAAATCAACTCCATCAAATAAAGCAAAAGTTCATCGATGTCGACAATGTTCATATGTATCTAGTGTTAAAGTATGAAATAATAAAACGAAGAGAAAAAAAAGAAGTAAACCGTCAAATTCTTTTCGTTTTTTTTTCAATAGGAAGATTATTGGGCACATCATCGAGTACATATACGAGCAGATAAAGTTCTTGAATGTCCAAGTTGTCCATTTGTTACTGAATATAAACATCATCTTGAATATCATTTACGTAATCATCTTGGATCAAAACCATTTAAATGTTCAAAGTAAATTAAAATTTTTTAAATACTTTTTTATTTATGTATTTTCATAATAGATGTGAATATGCATGTGTAAATTTATCAATGTTACGTTCACATAAAAAATCTCATTTTCGTCATTTAATATTTAAATGTTTAAATTGTTCATTTGAATCAAAACAGTATCAAGCATTACAAGAACATTTACAAATTGAAGGACATGAACCATTTTTAGACGAAAATATTGAAGAATTTCTTAAAGAATATTCAAGTGGAAATTTAACATCATTAAATACAACTAATAATAATAGTAATTCATCATCATCAACGCCACCAACACTTGTACCAACACCATCAATACAAAAAACAAATACTTGTTCAACAACATCACAAAAACGTAAAATAACATTAAATACATCTGTACCTATTCATGTTAAACGTACATCATCAACATCATCAATGGATTCATCGACAGATGCTATATCACCTATATCAAATGATGAACATCAAATTGATTTATTAAATCAACAAACAACACCACCAATATCCATTTCATCAACATCTGTACCACTTGTTTGTACTCTATGTGATTATGTTGCTGCATCAAAAGAAGGACTCGGTGTACATTTATTTCAACATGCTTGTAAAAAAAGTGATCTTCTTAATCGATCATTATTAGCTAGCATGACTATTGATCCAGCAACGAAATTAATGGAATTATTTAATGGAAAAATTGGACCATTTACAAATGCAAGCGGAGCTACTGGACAAGTAATGATTTGTTTTACATTGGAGAATAATAATCAAAGGATACAGATGATTTTTATCTTAAATTTATATTGGATAAATCTATTCAGATACTGTTACTTAGTAAGATCTATTCTAGATGAGACAGCGTTAAGATTAAGATGTCTATCATTAGTTTGTGATACATTACTAATTTGTTTCTCCCCGAAGGGTTATTTAGCAGTTCGGGTGAAACACATTGATATGTGAAAGTTGAAGTTACATTGTTATATAAATGAAAAAAAGTGACTTAATAATCCTCAGGGTCGACTGATCACGAAGGCATTTTTTTTTGCGACACTCAATAATAACCTTGCTATTAATGAATTACGTCATACCAATAAAAAAAACTAAAGGAAATTCATATAGTTCGAAAAACCCATAAACTTATGACACATACTTCAAATTCAAAAAAAAAGTTAATCACAATGTAGTACACTATTATCAATCTTTGAGACACTAATATTTTTTATGTTATTCATGAGTCATCATTTTTAGGGAATGCTAGAATCAATAGCCGGAAGCTTTGTCTGCCTGGTAGACCATAGAAAACACTTACGAATAACAGTTCTTAATCACTATTAAATAATTATATCGTATTGCATTATTATAATCTGTATTGATTCAAGAGGGGGAAAAAAGCGACTTCAGTCCCTTGGTAGCAATTATACAAAGCATTAGTTTTTTAAGCAGCAGTTAGCGAATGTATATCGTTGCTGTACCATTATTCATCTAATATATAATTCTTCTTTGTTTGTAACTTGAGTACTGCACGGATAGTCGACTCGTGGGTTACTATACTCTAACATTTCGCTCATAGTTTAACAGAACGATCAATCAACTATGCGAGTAAGGGTCTCGCTGTTGAACAGCAGCATTAATCCCTTGAGTGTCATTACACTTTATAAAGTGCACATTTTCTAAGTTTCTGAGATTTTCAATAAGTCGTTTTTCTAACAGCACTTTTCGTCTAAAAAGAAGTCGAACGGATACTATCCTGTTGCAGTCTCTCAAATATTTCAATTTTCGTATTGAAATTAAGTTAATCGTGGCTCCTAGTGATATTCTAAAGGTTGATTTGGTGACAGCTCTCAATCGAATTTTGACTCATACCAGTACTTTCTCACAGGAATTACCAAAATACTTCTTCGCCATGTCCGTAGGAAATACAAACATAAGCTGAAAATGAGTTGAACATTTAAAAAAAAATTTCGATGACAATATCAACAATGAATACTGTTTATATTACATATAAAAGTCTCAAAATTTCGTCCATTAGTTGAGCAATCGTACTCAAAGGATTAAAAATACATATTCTCAAACTTTTTATGAATTGTATTATCTAAAACGAAGTTTGTGCCTTCAACAAATCTTTAGTTTTTTACACCCGTATCTAACTATGGATACTCAATTTCATGGGTTGCAGTACTCATATTACATCTAATAATCTCGATTGTCGGCTAGAGATGAGAACAAGAACACCAAATGAACACATTTTAAAAAATTAAAAATCTGATAATCTGGTCAACTTTTAACATTTCTTTTTAGCTAAATGATTTTCTTGGTCCCTATCAACAATTTCTCTCGCAACAAATTCAAGCTCATTTAGCTTCGACTAGTTCATTATCATCTACAACTTCAAATGTTCATCATTATCATCTCGATAATAATAATAATCATGCACCACCACCGCCACCACCATCTTTACTTAATAGTGGTTATTCTCTATTATCATCATGTATTAAAAATGAATCGAATGAAAATTCATATCCATCTCCTAAACGACAACGAAAAGAACAAGCATCATATAAATCATATTCAACAGATGTTAATAATGATGAAAGAAATATGAATTTTGTTGATCAACAAACACAAGTTGATGAATGGCAAATAAAACGTTTATTTGAATGTTTTCATTGTGAAATTATTTTCAAAGATTTTGCAATGTATTGTACACATAAACAATTACATTATTCTTCAGATAATCCTTTTCGTTGTGCACAATGTGGTGAACAAAAAGCAAATAAATATGATTTTTTTGTACATGTTGCACAACAAGCTCATGATCTGACCTGAGTAAAAAAAAATCAACATTTTCTTTTTCTTTTGTTTTTTTTTCTTGGCATTTAGTTCTTTTGGTTTGTACATGTTTTTTTTTCTTTTGTTGCTGTTGATTTTTTTTTCTTTTTTTTTTCTTTTTGCCATGACACTGAAGAGCGAAACAACAACAAAAAAAAAAAAGAATGAAGTTCGCGTTGTTTTTTTATTGGCAGTTTTTATTGTTTATGAAAAAATATCTTTACGACGATCACCGTATGTTGTTAGAAGTTCTTCATCGATCATAAATATTGTTAATTTTCTGTCAGATACTTGAACATCATTGATACGATGTTCAATATCACTTAGAAGTTTATCAACTTCAATATGATGATCAAGTAAATGGGATTCAAGATAATCTTGTACATTAGCATCTTTAGCATTATCAGCTTCTTGATGACAACGAACAACTTCTTTCCATACATCTTTATTTTGACGACGAGCTTCCGTTAAACCTTGTGAAATGTCAAGTGTACTAGATAAATCATTACGAATTTTAACACCATCTTTATGAATTAATCGATTAAGTTGAGCTTTACGTAAAGCAATAAATTTAACAAGATCATGAGCTTTGGATGAATCATTATCACTTAATTTAATAAATAAACTTGAAAAACCAGGATAAGCACTAGAGGTACCAAATTTTGATGATAATTGAAGATAATTATATGAAACAGTAAGTTCTTGCGTTGCTAAATCGCTTAAACATTGACCCAGACCAGTATTTAATGTTATTGCTGATGTTTGAGCAATCGCAAATAACGAAATTATAAAAGCAAGACAATGAATTGTTTGCATTATTCTCATATGTGTGTGTTCGAAGGCTAGTTAAAGGAATAAATGTCGTGTGATGATGTGAAGAGACAAGAGAAACAGATGATAGAGATGATAAAAAAAGTGCATGACTGATAACAGTTTAATTTCATAACTCTTAGTCAATATTTGCTACTTCTTACTTTTATCAAATGTTTTTGTTGGTTTTTTTCTTAAGAAGACGAAATTAAAGACATAAGATGCATATGAAAACTACCATTGTCATGATTTACAGAAGTGTCAGATGTTTTTTTTGTTTGAAGCGAACTGGTATCAGAGTATTAAAAATACTTAAAAGCGTTATTTGTAGTTTAGAAAGTACTGTTTATTCAAAACAGTAATGTAGATTATTGATTAGATTAAGTTTAAATTAGATGTTTGAACAGGTCTGACATGTCGCTTCACATCAATATTAAGTGGATAATAAAATTATGATACTTGATAATCTTAATAAAAATCGAAAAACAATGACAAGTAGAGAGATATTAAACAAAAACAAAAACAAACTCAATCTTATTCGCAATCATCATTAGCCATGATTTACGAGGAAACGTTTTCGATTGATCAATCGCTTTCGACTTTGTACTGAGATTTTGCCTACAGATACGTCTATTATTAGTAGTGTCTTTAAAACTTCAGCTCAAAAGAATGCTTCCTTTTCAAGATATTAAAGTCCCAAAAATCACTCGTATTTCACAAAACTAGTGTCGTGCAACCGATTTGAGTACCGATTGTGAAAAAATTTTCGAGTTGGATCTGGATTTGAAATCTTGCTCGCATCCTATCCAGCAATGTATGAGAGCTCGAAGTTTCAAATTATTTTTACTCTTTTAAACTGTTAAATATATATATCTAAACGAATTCGATTTTAATAAAACGCCATATACAGATGATGAGGAACTATATGGAGAAGTAACTGAATACAAAGAAGAAAATAAATTATCAAAAAGATGAACGTGTATCGTCATTGTGGAAAATAGAATTAAATTATGGAATCATCAGTTACAAGCAAACGTAACACTTAATGAAATCAATAAGATTCTAGAAGCAGGGAGACAGCAAGTGAATTCTGAATCATTTGCTTTTACGAACGATACTCGAATTTTCTGTTTTTTGAGACTTAAACATCTCGTGAAGAAAATATTCTTTTGCGCTATAATTTTCATAGTGTTCTACTGACAAGTAGATGTATCTGGATGAAACATCAAATCACAATACTGTCATTCGATTGGTTCGTATATACAACTCCAGAGGCTAAAATTCTAGTAAAAAGACAATAAATCTGAACGGAAGGCCTAAGTAAACTTATTCGTTTGAGACTTTTCATGTCTCATTAGACTCTACCTTCTGATCAGTTGAAAATGTTTTCTCGTTAGATTAATAAAAATGATTCGAAATGACTTAGAAATTCTATCGGCACACATATCGATTCATCTTCTTCTATATAACAACTTGATCGTTTTGTTCCCCTGTGGTAATACTAGAATGATAAAATCCATAAGAATAAATCAATGATATTCCAACTATTTAAATATGAACTAAAATTATTGATTTCATCAACGTTAACATATGATATATAAGAACTTCATTCTATATATTTTGACTAGAAAGATAATTATGCTAGAGAAAAAACTTCTTTGTAGAAAATTAATATTGTATTATTCGTTGTTTGTATCATTGAACTGGAGAGGAACCAGATATTACTAACAAAAAATGTTTCGGCTATATACATACATAGAATAACAAAAATTATACTTTCTCTTCATCGATGCTTCTCAATGATTCTTTCACTAGAAGAAACATACTGATGTGTTCATTCTATATATTTGACTTATTCCATTGAGGAATTTTTGCTTCGTTAGATAAATCACCAGTGATTCATCTGTAATCATTGTGGAGGATGAATCATTAACTAAATAAGCAGTTATAAAATATCTAAGTAAATGATGACATTTATTATGGTTTTCTAGCTTAAAGTTACAGTCTATTTTTCAATTAGATATCGATGTAGAACAATATCCATGGCTATTCAATTCATATAACGATACTATGGCACGGTCTATTATGTTTCTGTATGAGTGAAATATGGATTATAGGCTGTGAATATCATGTTTTTCCTATAGTACTCAACAGACCTCCGAATTGAATGGAACATGCACTAGAGATGTGCGTTGTTCAAACAGTCATTTCACTCTTCTCTCTTTTCTCAATGTCCGCGAGATGGTCAAGCTTGTATCATACCAGTTGTTAAACTCAATTGTTACAGTTTGTTAAAAACGAGAATGTATATCAAATGCTGAAAGCGAAAAGGAGAGATTAAAACGTTGACAGACTCACTCTTTATGATATAGCGTCTGTTTTCTTATCTGATTTTGAAATTTCTTTGTTAGGTTTATAAATTAAATCGTAGTCAATGGTGATCAAAGATTATCCTGATAACAAATCAGCCTAACTCAAAACTTAGTGAATTTCACTATGGCGAGTATAAGACTTAAATTTGTCTTACATCTAAGTTTGTGTAAATTTGATTACGAAACAGGTAGAGATTGAAACGGGCACCCTATCAGTTTACATGTTTTTTCTCGTTAAGCATTATTTTTTCAGAAATATTTTAGCGCTACAGGTATGAGGAAAAAATTGACGAAAAACAATCAGTAAGAGAAGAAATGTTTTTTTTTTAAAGTTCACACTAACTTCGCAACACAGTTACTTATACACACCATATTCTACTTGCGGGACTCTCCCGCATGGGATCTTGGGATAGGGCGAAAAAAAAGGTCATCCTATGACATCAGTTGGTTTGATTCATTCGATCTCCTAGGACGATTCGTTCATTATATAGATCAATGCAAACCATTAATTGATTTCGATGGGTTTCTTATTCTATCATCTCAGTTTCCCTCAATCTGCGTTCATTTTGTTTCATTAGTTTCGCGTTTCAAGTTTTATACCGGTAACATAAACTTTACTTATTTCTTCAAAAATAAAATTGTGAATTCATTGAGATCCGTTTGAATTTACTGAACTCGAGCAGAATTTAAGTTTTGCTATTCCTCTTAATATATCTCAATGCCTTGTCTCAAAGTATTCAGAAGTAATAATCATACTACTTTTCTAGTACATTTTCCATGCATGGATTCTTAGCTTCTAATAAGTTTAATTAGTTTTCTCAGATTGCTAATTTTAAATTAAGATCCTTTCATATTCTGGCACAATTCAGTGGATTTCTCCCGATCTTTGTAAACTCTAGTAAATTCTGTAATTGCTCAGATTCGCTAGAATTCATGAGGAATTCCTATCTATCCATTGGTTTTCTCTAAATCAAAACTTATAACAATCTATCAGGAAAATTAATGAATAATGGAAATGTTAAAAGTTCTTTATGATCATGGAAATTTATTCAAATAATCAACAGTTATGACACAAGAATATTAACAACCCTTAACGAGCTTGAAGTGTACAGAACTACATAAAATTAGTGTTATTTTTCGTTGTTAAATACTTGCGTAAAATTATTAACATTTTTTACATGAAAATCATAGCATTAGAAAGTAAGAAAGAAAACTATTTCTATTGGTGCAAGAACCCGATGCTGAAACTATAATAAATCCTATTATGCACCATATCTATAACAATGGAATGAGAAATTTCTCTCATGAAGCTATACGGAATTCCAGTACTTCTAGCATTAGTATCGGCTTTTTCCCGAAAATAAGTTTTGATGCTTTATTTGAGTAGCATGAAAAATGTCCTATGAAAGAGATATTGTGTGCATGAATTAAACTATCACCTTTCTGAGAAGCTCTGATGGTAATGAAGGTAGAATGTGGGTGTGTGTAGGTTTAGGAATGAGGTGTGAACGTATGATTCTCCTTGAACGTCAAATCCACACCTACACCCATCCAATCCGATGGGATATTGCACAAGAATAATTCGTTCCATAGGATAGGATTGGGCGAAATCGGACAGGTTCATCTTGCTCAGTACCCTGGTACTGAATGATAGGTTGTTGATTCTTTCCTATATGAATCCAAAACCACATGACAGTTCGAATATTATTATACGAATAGAAAGAACTTACGACAGTGGCTCTATGAACATTTTGTTCTCTGTGATACTTAGTCAAAACTCCTAACAAATTTAAAATGAAAATTCAGATCTAAGTATCAATCTTATCTTCGATATTATTGATTGGAATGAGACAAAAATACAATTTTGTTTCCGGTAAATATTTTATTTATTTATTTTATTACAAATTTACTCACAGTTGGTACAAGCAGTATAGTTCAAAAGTGTCAAAAATTATAGAAAAAAAGTTCGTCTTTCTCTTGAACTACAAGTTGCTCTCTTCTTGTTGCAGCTGAAAAACACCGATTATAGATACTTGAATGTTTACAATGATAAATATACGAATTGATTCGAATATTTGAAAATAAAGAATTTTATGTGAATGCGCGTGTTTAAAAGAAGCTTTCGTTGACAACATGATTTGATTATGTCTTTTTGGTTTTTAATCTTAATTTCATTCGAAAGTTTTTTATATGAAATTGTTTTGGAAGTTGTGGAATTCGTATATTTTTAATAATAGGTTTGATAAACGATGATGTTTTTGATGACTCTTCTTTATTCTCAAATACTTGTTCAATAGCATTATACGTTTGAGTCACATCTGAATGATAGGATGTAGGCGGTTTTTCATGACTTTTCAGCGATTGTTGATAAATCAAATATGCTTGCGCATTATCACCCATGGCTTGATATAATTGCCATAGATTGCTAAATGAGGTAGCCAAATCAGGATGATTCGAAGGAAGAGATTGTTGTCGAATTTCAAGTGCTTTTTTGTAAAATGAAAGAGCTTCTGTGTAATCTTTCATCTTTTGATATGTTGAAGCAATACTATTGTAAGAATTAGCTAGATCTGGATGATTATATGAAAGAGCTTTTTCATAGATTTCAAGTGCTTTTTTGTGGTATGATAACGC